TATAGCAAAAATATCACTTAAAAAAAAAAAGGTATTAATGGGATAGTGAACCATCTGGAAATCATCACCAGAGCTGGAACTTGGTAAGCAGAACATTTTAACCATGAAAAGATACAGTCATCACTACCAAAACCAAAGTGAAACTGGGATGGGAAGAAGAATTCCTTCACTCTCTCTCACCTCTCTATCCTCTAATCATCCTCTGGTGCCTCTCACTGGTTAAATCTACCTGGAAATCCTCAGCACAATGGAACCTAGGTGAGGAAGACTTGAGAGGTCATTCTCCTGAGGCACAGCCTGGCAGGAAGGGTGGAGATGACCCTGGATGAAGGACCAGTAGGGGACAGCCAACACATGGTACATTGCCCTCCATCGTCTACATTCACTTAAAAACCATTTAATGTGCTAGAGAATGTTCTAGGGAGTTGGGGCACGAGAGTACATGAGACAGGAAAGATGGTCACTTTTGTGGTGTTTTTCATTCCACTTAGAACCGTGGAATGACATTTGGGGGGATGGTAAGTGCTATGAAGAAAACAGCAAGAATTTCCACCACTTTGACATACAGAAAGCAGTCTTTTAGATGAGGGTAATCACAAATCATGATGCTCTGTGAGGCTGAGCCACCTGAGAGGGTTCAAGTTGGTCTGGAGACCTCTCTAAGTATGCAGGGTGTGAATTGCTATATCAGGACCCTGTTGCTGGTGTTGTCTCTCTCACTCATGGAATAAATAAATAAACTTTAAAAAAAAAAAGAGAAAGAGCAGCTCTATAGTGTCGTGGTAATACACTGATCAAAAGAAGCTGGATCCCATAATGTGACTATGGTTCAAATCTCTGGTCTGATCAGTCTGAAACATGCCAGGCATGTGCACGAGAGTACCAAAGATCCAATGGGCTAGGAGATTGGAGAGAGATAGCAACATAACCAGACCTTGTGGAGAATACTCATCTCTCATATGCACTCATACGAACTCTATCATGAGCAATTTCTTTAAAATTATATTAAATTTTTTTAAAAAGAGGGTAATCAGGAGAGTCATTTCTGAGATCATGACAGTAGGGGGGGTTAAAATGAATATGAACAAGGAAACTAGTCTTTCTAAGAGCCAAGAAGCACGTTTTTGCAAGAGAAATCAGCAAAGGCCGAAGGCAAGCATACTGAGGTAACAACCAGTTTGACTCTTCCAAGGGAGAGACAGGAAGTCTGGGTGTCCAGAAACTGGGAAAGGGAAGGTAGCAGGAGGAGACATAAGAATATCAGGCAGAGGCTGATATTCATAAAGGGCTTTGTAAGTTAAGCCAGTCCCCCACCCCCCAAAGGTATTTTAAAGGCTGTTCATGGCGGGCTGGTGTATGTGGATTCAGACAGACCAGATTTCCAGTTCTAAACATAATTTTCACAACCTATGAAAAATAAATTGTAATGCAGCAAGAGTGGAATTGTTCCACTGAAGTTTGCATTGCCCTGACCAGATCTCCTGTGACCAGGAGAGGTAGATGGTGTCTTGGGTAGGAGCGGCACTGTTAAGGTCAGGGTAGACAGCTACTGAAGAGTGGCCCATTCACAAGCAGGCTGGCAGCCCATGGAGTGGATTAGAACTAAGGGCTCTGTGACTAGATTATATTCCTCTGAAATGTGGACTAGAGGATAAGAAAGGGCTTAACTCGTTGTTGCTAGTGTGAGAAATGATCAAAAAGGTAGAGAAGAAAAGGGACACAGTGAGGATGAAATAAGAGAGTAGCTTATCTTTAGAGGGGCCTGGGTTCATAATAGCTAATACCTTTTAATTAAGGTGGTCTCTATGCTTCTTTCTAGCAAGCAAAAAGGCTCTAACAAGTGCACAAGCTCCCAAGCTTGCATACTTAGATTTCTTTGCATTCATATCAGCCAGGAATGGCAAAAATTTGCTCTGGTAACAAATAAAACTGTCAAACCTTAGTGGTTTAAAACAACCAAGGCTTACTTCTCACTCACTTTACACACACATCATGAGGTGGCTGGGCCTCCATTCTGACTATCTTCTCTCCCAGACCAAGACTGATAGAGTATATACTCTCTGGAACATTGTTGATTGCCATGGCAACAAGACAAAGAGTTCTGGAAGGTCTTGCATCAGCAATTAAGTGCTATGCTCATAATTCATTTGCAGTAGGTGTAATGTAGCTCAACCCAACCACAAAAAAAGGGCATATAATCCTACCATTTACCTGACAAAATATTTTGCACACCTACCACCATTCATTTATCCATAACCATGGTGTTAACATGCTGTCTATACCTCGATGTCAAAATTTCTAGGAGAGGGGGCCCCATTTCAACTCCATATCCATATTTTCAACCATGTTCTAGAATGCCATGTTTGGACGGTGTCATAGACATAATAGGTCCCATGTATCAAGACCCAACTCTCCATCTTTTCCACAAACTTTCTGGAATTTCTTCTGGTCAGTGGCCTCATTATTCATCAAGTACCTCAAATAGGAAACCTAGGTGTTTTCCTTGATTTCTTCTCCCTCTCTTCTGACACCTCATCTGTTGCCATGCCCACAGATGCTTCTCTGTAACCTATCTTCAATTTACTAACACAAGGACCACTGCCCTGCTTCAGTCCCTCATGGAACCTTGTGTAGGCAATTCTATTTGCCTTCTGTCCCTTCATTTCTTCCTGTGTAAACTGCAATAATTTGTGTATTCAACAAACATTTAAAGAATGATCATTTCTTCTCAGAATTAATATGTAATAGACCCATTTTTAAGAAACCAAAAGTTTCTAGGGTTAGCCAGTGGCGTGGAGGTTAAGGTGGCAGGATCCCACATGGCCAGCTGTATGAATCAAGTCTTGGACTAAGGGCCAAGACCAAGGGCCTGAAAAGCGTATATGTGCTTTTCCAAAATCTTGAGAGTAGAATGGAGAAGAAGGGATTGTCGCATGACCATTCCCCCAGGGAGTGATTTCTCACTCACCACTCCCCACCCCCATCTCTCCCAAGTGAGCACACATGCCTCATAGCAAAAACTAAAATGAAAATAAAATTGTCTTAAAGAAAAAAAAAGGAACTGGAAGTCTAAAGAGAAAATAAGTGATGTAAACAAAATAATATCAAACTAATGGGACAAACGTGATAATAGTCTCAGGGTGGAAAGGAAATATCAAATTGCGTGTGATGGTGACAGGAAGGTAGTGTGGGTTTCTTCTACTAAGGAAGTGAAACTTCAGCTAAACATGTAGGGAATTCCAACAACTACAACTACCTGTGAACTACAGGAGTTAGAAAAGAGGTGAAAGAGGCAGATGGCATAATGGTTACATCGCTAGACTCCCACTAGTCAACTGTGGTTTGAGTCCCTGACCTGGTGACTTAAAATTCATGCAAGGCACCAGAGTGTGCATGCCCAAAATCCCAAAAGGAGAGTGGAGGAGAAGAGACTGTGGCTGGGCCCATTCCCTTAGGAGGTGATTTCTCACTTTCTGTCCCTCTGGCAAGCGGACGTGCTGTATAGCAAAAATCTCTTTAAAAAAATTATTGAATGCTGATTTCAGGCATAGTGCTAAGTAATTTTTTTTTTTACTTAATTCTCAAAACAATATTTTAAAGCAAAATTGTACTGTTAGCTTCATTTTGAAATTTAAAAAGAAACATTGAGGTGCAGTGCTTAATGACTTGACCAGTTGCACAGTAACTAAACCTGTTTTGCACCAGAGCCCAAGCTGATATCTATCTACTAAGTTATGCTGAGCTTCAAGGGCACCTAGATATGCCCACAGATACAAAGGATGTATAGGCCAAGAGAGAGGAACATAGGAGTCATCAGCTTACGGAGGGAAGGCATGGTAGGATCAAAGCACAGAGAATTCTAAAAAGGGAGAAGAGAAGAGGGCATAGCGAACATTAACCTTGGGGTGGTGGTGGTGGTGGGGGGGGTTTGAAACCCGCAAACGAAGGAGAAGAGGCCATCTGACAGCATGAACCCTTAGGAAACGTCCTGCTAGGACTCTTTTTCAAACACTCCTAGTCCAGCGCCTGGCACTAATAAGGGGCATTCCATCAAAGGTGGGCATCATACCTAATGCCTCCAGCTCCTAAAGCTCTAAGCAATCTGAAACCCACAGGAAGACCTCTATAACGGAAGGGAGGAGGCAGACCTAAGGAGGTGGAGTGGGGGACAATTAGCAAATTTCTCTCCACAACAGACCAAGAATTCTTCTAAGGTGGCCAGCAGCTCTCCTGCGGCCCCCTGGGTTCAGAGGTTACTGCGGGGAGAACCAGGTGGTACTAGGCGATGATCCAGCCTACAACCAGGGGTCTCCTGGGTCTGAGAGGAGGAGCGTGCGCACATCCCAGACCCTCGCCCTTCGCCCGAACCTCCACGTCACTGCGGAACCCGCCTCCGCGCACCAGCACCGGCTCTCCG